TTAGTGTGGATTCGCCTTTATCAAGAAGTTCAAGGTCATCCATGTGAAGGAGGTGAGCAAGAGGTGGTGGTGATCTTTGCTGAGGAGGTCCGGATAATAACCATCCTCTTTGCCAGAGAAAGGGATTTTGTGACAAATAGAAAAGCAAAGGACTAAAAGAATAACCCAGAAATGTTCCTCTTCTGATAGAAATGGGGTATGAAGTCACCACCTGCCCCTGCGATAACATCTCAGGTTGGGTTGACCAACGATTCATAAAAGACTTGTGTAAAACAAGTAGTCGCTCGGGGAGGTCAATACATTGCAGTGACTTCATAATCCAATTTTGAGGTACAGAATCATAAGATGTTCTGTATTCTATGCAACTCATTGAGAGGTTTCGATGGTAAGTTTTAGCCATCCTATTCTTGCTCCTTTGTGCTCCATATAAATAACATTGGAAGCGCAGTATGATGGCACAACGTTGTTAGGATCCGTCAAATCACAATTCTTTGGGAGAAGTATTGTTCGACCTTTTAGAACAGGAATTGATCACGTTTGTCCTGGTGTAACAAATACTGTTTGACATATGAACCTTTGATATGGAATTTATCATTCAACCCAAACTGTCCACCCCTTTGAAATATGGCATGTGTTTTATCCAAATTGACATTAAAATTAAAGTTATAAGTGCATTTACATAGTCCGTAAATAAAGCTGGCATTGTAACCGAAAAGTGAATTTGGAAGATTCGTGTACTTAACATTGCTGTGATTGGAGGTGGATGTCCAATAGGGGATGGAGGACACTGCGAACACACAAGGGCAGCATGTGCCACATTGTTGTGATTGTAGGTGGATGTCCAGTAGGGGATGGAGGACTCTGGGGACACACAAGGGCAGCATCTGCCACATTGTTGTGATTGGAAGTGGATGTCCAATAGGGGATGGACGACACTGGGAACACACAAGGGCAGCATGTGCCACATTGTTGTGATTGGAGGTGGATGTCCAATAGGGGATGGACGACACTGGGAACACACAAGGGCAGCATGTGCCACATTGTTGTGATTGGAGGTGGATGTCCAATAGGGGATGGAGGACACTGGGGACACACAAGGGCAGCATGTGCCACATTGCTGTGATTGGAGGTGGATGTCCAATAGGGGATGGAGGACACTGGGAACACACAAGGGCAGCATGTGCCACATTGCTGTGATTGGAGGTGGATGTCCAATAGGGGATGGAGGACACTGGGAACACACAAGGGCAGCATGTGCCACATTGCTGTGATTGGAGGTGGATGTCCAATAAGGGATGGACGACACTGGGAACACACAAGGGCAGCATGTGCCACATTGCTGTGATTGGAGGTGGATGTCCAATAAGGGATGGACGACACTGGGAACACACAAGGGCAGCATGTGCCACATTGCTGTGATTGGAGGTGGATGTCCAATAGGGGATGGAGGACACTGGGAACACACAAGGGCAGCATGTGCCACATTGCTGTGATTGGAGGTGGATGTCCAATAGGGGATGGACGACACTGGGAACACACAAGGGCAGCATGTGCCACATTGCTGTGATTGGAGGTGGATGTCCAATAGGGGATGGAGGACACTGGGAACACACAAGGGCAGCATATGCCACATTGTTGTGATTGGAGGTGGATGTCCAATAGGGGATGGAGGACACTGGGGACACACAAGCGCAGCATGTGCCACATTGCTGTGATTGGAGGTGGATGTCCAATAGGGGATGGAGGACACTGGGAACACACAAGGGCAGCATGTGCCACATTGTTGTGATTGGAGGTGGATGTCCAATAGGGGATGGAGGACACTGGGAACACACAAGGGCAGCATGTGCCACATTGTTGTGATTGGAGGTGGATGTCCAATAGGGGATGGAGGACTCTGGGAACACACAAGGGCAGCATCTGCCACATTGTTGTGATTGGAGGTGGATGTCCAATAGGGGATGGACGACACTGGGAACACACAAGGGCAGCATGTGCCACATTGTTGTGATTAGAGGTGGATGTCCAATAGGGGATGGAGGACTCTGGGAACACACAAGGGCAGCATCTGCCACATTGTTGTGATTGGAGGTGGATGTCCAATAGGGGATGGAGGACACTGGGAACACACAAGGGCAGCATCTGCCACATTGTTGTGATTGGAGGTGGATGTCCAGTAGGGGATGGAGGACACTGGGAACACACAAGGGCAGCATCTGCCACATTGTTGTGATTGGAGGTGGATGTCCAGTAGGGGATGGAGGACACTGGGAACACACAAGGGCAGCATGTGCCACATTGCTGTGATTGGAGGTGGATGTCCAATAGGGGATGGAGGACACTGGGAACACACAAGGGCAGCATCTGCCACATTGTTGTGATTGGAGGTGGATGTCCAGTAGGGGATGGAGGACTCTGGGGACACACAAGGGCAGCATGTGCCACATTGTTGTGATTGGAGGTGGATGTCCAGTAGGGGATGGAGGACACTGGGGACACACAAGGGCAGCATGTGCCACATTGCTGTGATTGGAGGTGGATGTCCAGTAGGGGATGGAGGACACTGGGAACACACAAGGGCAGCATCTGCCACATTGTTGTGATTGGAGGTGGATGTCCAGTAGGGGATGGAGGACACTGGGGACACACAAGGGCAGCATGTGCCACATTGCTGTGATTGGAGGTGGATGTCCAATAGGGGATGGAGGACACTGGGAACACACAAGGGCAGCATGTGCCACATTGTTGCACTCGGTAACTGCCGATGCAGCACAGCAAGTTCCTCTCAGAAACACGAATGTTTTTTAACCGAAACTATATATACTGAACAGATAAAGAAACGTCGTATTTTTTGGCTTATTAGGACATAATTGTGCATGATCAAAATGTAATTTTTCTTCATGAATATGTTTATTAGACTTTAGGAAAAGCCAGTTTGTGACATTCAACTGATAATACCGGTTGCGTTCGGTGTAACAGTTGTGAACCTTGGGAACTGTGAGATGCCCGAGGGAGCAAGTTGCAAGTGATGCACAGGAAAATTGAAATGCACGTGAAACATGTGCCAGGGTTCTGTATAAGAACCACCTAACACCTACTGAGAATTCAGTTGCTTTGAGAAGACAGCGACCATGCCATGACTATCCTCGAACAACGTGAACAAGCCATCGGACGATTAATTGCCGGACAACGTACCCAAGTCATTGCCAATGCTTTTAACTGCAGTGTACGAACTATTGAAAGACTTCGGATTCGTTACAACACCACCAACAGCACTAATGACCGTCCACGCAGTGGTCGTCGCCGAGTCACAACACCAAGACAAGATCGCTTCATCCTGCGGCAACATCTGCAGGACAGATTCACCACAGCGGCACAGACAGCTCGTCAGACCATTGGCAACCATTAGCGACCCATCAGTGCCGACACTGTTCGAAATCGGCTCGCCTCCCAGAACCTGTCTTGTCGCCGTCCACACATCATCGTCAGCAACGTCTTGCGTGGGCCACCCAACGACAACATTGGCGGCATCAGCAGTGGAGGACCCACGTGTTCTCAGATGAGAGTCGGTACTGCATTTCCACCGCAGATGGCAGAGTACGAGTGTGGCGACGGAGTGGTGAATGTTTTACAGAACAGTGTGTGGTTGAAAGAGACCAGTGGGGAGGACCAAGCTTTATGGTATGGGGTGCAATCGACATCAATCAGAAACTTGGACCTGTTGTCTTCCAGAAAATTGGCCCAGGCAGAGGCCATGGAGTCACAGCCGCCCGTTACATCGACCAGGTTCTCCGACCCACGTTGTACCTCATTTTGCAAGACTCCGAAACCACACCTTCCAGCATGACAACGCCCGTCCACACATTGCCATAGCCAACAGGACCTTCCTCCAACAGCATAACATCAGAGTAATGCCATGGCCTTCACTCAGCCCGGACTTAAACCCAATTGAACACTTGTGGGATGACATCCAAAGACCACTAAACCAGATCCAACCGCGTCCAAGAAATGCTGCATAACTCAGTACAGCTTTCCTCAGGGTCTGGGCGCAGATTCCAATGGCGTCTGTAAACCGTTTGTGCCACTCCATGTACAGAAGATGCCGGGCCGTTATCAACGCACAAGGAGGACACACCAGTTACTGAATTTCAGCCTCCGTCTGTGAGGATCACGTGATCAGACCCTCGATATGACATTGCAATAATATGATTGACACTCAAACAATACTACAGCAGGTCGCACAAAGTATTCAACATTGTACAACAAGCACAGGGAAGGCGGGCCTATTCCACTACAGCAGGTCGCATAAAGTATACAACATTGTTCAACAAGCACAGGGAAGGCGGGCTTATTTCACTACAGCAGGTCGCTCAAAGTATTCAACATTGTACAACAAGCACAGGGAAGGCGGGCCTATTTCACTACAGCAGGTCGCACAAAGTATTCAACATTGTACAACAAGCACAGGGAAAATGGGCCTATTATACCACAGCAGGTCGCACAAAGTATTCAACATTGTACAACAAGCACGGGGAAAATAGGCCTTTTATACTACAGCAGGTCGCACAAAGTATTCAACATTGTACAACAAGCACAGGGAAGGCGGGCCTATTCTACTACAGCAGGTCGCACAAAGTATTCAACATTGTACATTAAGCACGGGGGAAATGGGCCTATTCAGTCTTAGCTACAGCTAAATTACACGACATATTTTTCTATTGTACTATTTTGACTTTATCATGAACATGTACATGTGTTTATGAATCACTATCAAATAGTGATTTTGCCAGATTTTCGCGAAAGGGTGAGAGTATCCTGTCCAGTCGGTGGCACCCGTCACAATCCCATGCAAAGGCAACCACGACAGCGTAAAGAGCCTGAATCCCATGGACACCATGGGTCCAACATCAGGGCAGGCTTGTGAGACGGCCCGCGTACATTTAGTTCTCTCCTGTCCCCCTTCTCGCGTTTCACGTCGCTCCCAATCCTCCCCTCGTCCAGGCAGTGCTGGGTCGCGGCTGATGGGACACAGCTATGGAACACAGGATCCTCTGGTGGACTTTGGTTCTGCTGACAGTGCAAGGTGTCGCTGCACAGAGTGGTTTGTAAATAATTAAGTGTATATATTGTGTGAACAATGTACAACGTGCAGTAAATAGCTTTGGAATATATTGTCCCTTACACAAGTAATACTGCTAATGTTAAACCAATTGTGTTGTCCGAGCTGTCTGTACATTAACTCTTCCTAACATTGTGTCTTACTCTTCTTACAGAGACGCCCATCTTTCCCTGTGTTGTAGATTACATAGGCACCAATGTTTCCTTGTGTTGTAGATTACATCGACGCCCATCTTTCCTTGTCTTGTAGCTTACATAGACGCCCACCTTTCCTTGTGTTGTAGAGTACATACACGCCCACCTTTCCTTGTGTTGTAGAGTACATAGACGCCCATCTTTCCTTGTGTTGTAGATTTCATCGACGCCCATCTTTCCTTGTCTTGTAGCTTACATAGACGCCCACCTTTCCTTGCGTTGTAGAGTACATAGACGCCCATCTTTCCTTGTCTTGTAGCTTACATCGACGCCCATCTTTCCTTGTCTTGTAGCTTACATAGACGCCCACCTTTCCTTGTGTTGTAGAGTACATAGACGCCCATATTTCCTTGTGTTGTAGAGTACATAGACGCCCATCTTTCCTTGTCTTGTAGATTACATCGACGCCCATCTTTCCTTGTCTTGTACCTTACATAGACGCCCACCTTTCCTTGTGTTGTAGAGTACATAGACGCCCATCTTTCCTTGTGTTGTAGCTTACATCGACGCCCATCTTTCCTTGTCTTGTAGCTTACATAGACGCCCACCTTTCCTTGTGTTGTAGAGTACATAGACGACCATCTTTCCTTGTGTTGTAGAGTACATAGACGCCCATCTTTCCTTGTGTTGTAGAGTACATAGACGCCCATCTTTCCTTGTGTTGTAGATTACATCGACGCCCATCTTTCCTTGTCTTGTAGCTTACATAGACGCCCACCTTTCCTTGTGTTGTAGAGTACATAGACGCCCACCTTTCCTTGTGTTGTAGCTTACATCGACGCCCATCTTTCCTTGTCTTGTAGCTTACATAGACGCCCACCTTTCCTTGTGTTGTAGAGTACATAGACGCCCACCTTTCCTTGTGTTGTAGAGTACATCGACGCCCATCTTTCCTTGTCTTGTAGCTTACATAGACGCCCACCTTTCCTTGTGTTGTAGAGTACATAGACGCCCATCTTTCCTTGTGTTGTAGATTACATCGACGCCCATCTTTCCTTGTCTTGTACCTTACATAGACGCCCACCTTTCCTTGCATTGTAGAGTACATAGACGCCCATCTTTCCTTGTGTTGTAGCTTACATCGACGCCCATCTTTCCTTGTCTTGTAGCTTACATAGACGCCCACCTTTCCTTGTGTTGTAGAGTACATAGACGACCATCTTTCCTTTTGTTGTAGAGTACATAGACGCCCATCTTTCCTTGTGTTGTAGCTTACATCGACGCCCATCTTTCCTTGTCTTGTAGCTTACATAGACGCCCACCTTTCCTTGTGTTGTAGAGTACATAGACGCCCATCTTTCCTTGTCTTGTAGCTTACATAGACGCCCACCTTTCCTTGTGTTGTAGAGTACATAGACGCCCATCTTTCCTTGTGTTGTAGCTTACATAGACGCCCACCTTTCCTTGTGTTGTAGAGTACATAGACGCCCATCTTTCCTTGTGTTGTAGCTTACATCGACGCCCATCTTTCCTTGTGTTGTAGCTTACATAGACGCCCACCTTTCCTTGTCTTGTAGAGTACATAGACGCCCATCTTTCCTTGTGTTGTAGAGTACATAGACGCCCATCTTTCCTTGTGTTGTAGATTACATCGACGCCCATCTTTCCTTGTCTTGTAGCTTACATAGACGCCCACCTTTCCTTGTGTTGTAGAGTACATAGACGCCCATCTTTCCTTGTGTTGTAGCTTACATCGACGCCCATCTTTCCTTGTCTTGTAGCTTACATAGACGCCCACCTTTCCTTGTGTTGTAGAGTACATAGACGCCCGACTTTCCTTGTGTTGTAGAGTACATAGACGCCCATCTTTCCTTGTGTTGTAGATTACATCGACGCCCATCTTTCCTTGTGTTGTAGATTACATAGGCGCCAATGTTTCCTTGTGTTGTAGATTACATCGACGCCCATCTTTCCTTGTCTTGTAGCTTACATAGACGCCCACCTTTCCTTGTGTTGTAGATTACATAGACGCCCATCTTTCCTTGTGTTGTAGCTTACATCGACGCCCATCTTTCCTTGTCTTATAGCTTACATAGACGCCCACCTTTCCTTGTGTTGTAGAGTACATAGACGCCCATCTTTCCTTGTGTTGTAGATTACATCGACGCCCATCTTTCCTTGTGTTGTAGATTACATAGGCGCCAATGTTTCCTTGTGTTGTAGATTACATCGACGCCCATCTTTCCTTGTCTTGTAGCTTACATAGACGCCCACCTTTCCTTGTGTTGTAGAGTACATAGACGCCCATCTTTCCTTGTGTTGTAGCTTACATCGACGCCCATCTTTCCTTGTCTTGTAGCTTACATAGACGCCCACCTTTCCTTGTGTTGTAGAGTACATAGACGCCCACCTTTCCTTGTGTTGTAGAGTACATAGACGCCCATCTTTCCTTGTGTTGTAGATTACATCGACGCCCATCTTTCCTTGTGTTGTAGATTACATAGACGCCCACCTTACCTTGCGTTGTAGAGTACATAGACGCCCATCTTTCCTTGTGTTGTAGATTACATCGACGCCCATCTTTCCTTGTCTTGTAGCTTACATAGACGCCCACCTTTCCTTGTGTTGTAGAGTACATAGACGCCCACCTTTCCCTGTGTTGTAGAGTACATAGACGCCCATCTTTCCTTGTGTTGTAGCTTACATCGACGCCCATCTTTCCTTGTCTTGTAGCTTACATAGACGCCCACCTTTCCTTGTGTTGTAGAGTACATAGACGCCCATCTTTCCTTGTGTTGTAGAGTACATAGACGCCCATCTTTCCTTGTGTTGTAGATTACATCGACGCCCATCTTTCCTTGTCTTGTAGCTTACATAGACGCCCACCTTTCCTTGTGTTGTAGAGTACATAGACGCCCATCTTTCCTTGTGTTGTAGCTTACATCGACGCCCATCTTTCCTTGTCTTGTAGCTTACATAGACGCCCACCTTTCCTTGTGTTGTAGAGTCAAAGACGCCCACCTTTCCTTGTGTTGTAGAGTACATAGACGCCCATCTTTCCTTGTGTTGTAGATTACATCGTCGCCCATCTTTCCTTGTGTTGTAGATTACATAGGCGCCAATGTTTCCTTGTGTTGTAGATTACATCGACGCCCATCTTTCCTTGTCTTGTAGCTTACATAGACGCCCACCTTTCCTTGTGTTGTAGATTACATAGACGCCCATCTTTCCTTGTGTTGTAGCTTACATCGACGCCCATCTTTCCTTGTCTTGTAGCTTACATAGACGCCCACCTTTCCTTGTGTTGTAGAGTACATAGACGCCCATCTTTCCTTGTGTTGTAGATTACATCGACGCCCATCTTTCCTTGTGTTGTAGATTACATAGGCGCCAATGTTTCCTTGTGTTGTAGATTACATCGACGCCCATCTTTCCTTGTCTTGTAGCTTACATAGACGCCCACCTTTCCTTGTGTTGTAGAGTACATAGACGCCCATCTTTCCTTGTGTTGTAGCTTACATCGACGCCCATCTTTCCTTGTCTTGTAGCTTACATAGACGCCCACCTTTCCTTGTGTTGTAGAGTACATAGACGCCCACCTTTCCTTGTGTTGTAGAGTACATAGACGCCCATCTTTCCTTGTCTTGTAGCTTACATAGACGCCCACCTTTCCTTGCGTTGTAGAGTACATAGACGCCCATCTTTCCTTGTGTTGTAGATTACATCGACGCCCATCTTTCCTTGTCTTGTAGCTTACATAGACGCCCACCTTTCCTTGTGTTGTAGAGTACATAGACGCCCACCTTTCCTTGTGTTGTAGAGTACATAGACGCCCATCTTTCCTTGTGTTGTAGCTTACATCGACGCCCATCTTTCCTTGTCTTGTAGCTTACATAGACGCCCACCTTTCCTTGTGTTGTAGAGTACATAGACGCCCATCTTTCCTTGTGTTGTAGAGTACATAGACGCCCATCTTTCCTTGTGTTGTAGATTACATAGACGCCCATCTTTCCTTGTCTTGTAGCTTACATAGACGCCCACCTTTCCTTGTGTTGTAGCTTACATCGACGCCCATCTTTCCTTGTCTTGTAGCTTACATAGACGCCCACCTTTCCTTGTGTTGTAGAGTACATAGACGCCCATCTTTCCTTGTGTTGTAGATTACATCGACGCCCATCTTTCCTTGTGTTGTAGATTACATAGGCGCCAATGTTTCCTTGTGTTGTAGATTACATCGACGCCCATCTTTCCTTGTCTTGTAGCTTACATAGACGCCCACCTTTCCTTGTGTTGTAGATTACATAGACGCCCATCTTTCCTTGTGTTGTAGCTTACATCGACGCCCATCTTTCCTTGTCTTGTAGCTTACATAGACGCCCACCTTTCCTTGTGTTGTAGAGTACATAGACGCCCACCTTTCCTTGTGTTGTAGAGTACATAGACGCCCATATTTCCTTGTGTTGTAGATTACATCGACGCCCATCTTTCCTTGTGTTGTAGCTTACATAGACGCCCACCTTTCCTTGCGTTGTAGAGTACATAGACGCCCATCTTTCCTTGTGTTGTAGATTATATCGACGCCCATCTTTCCTTGTCTTGTAGCTTACATAGACGCCCACCTTTCCTTGTGTTGTACAGTACATAGACGCCCATATTTCCTTGTGTTGTAGAGTACATAGACGCCCATCTTTCCTTGTGTTGTAGATTACATCGACGCCCATCTTTCCTTGTCTTGTACCTTACATAGACGCCCACCTTTCCTTGTGTTGTAGATTACATAGACGCCGATCTTTCCTTGTGTTGTAGCTTACATCGACGCCCATCTTTCCTTGTCTTGTAGCTTACATA